TTCCCTAACAGACTCACTCCTATATTTTCACACACACAGTCACATACAGGTTTTTTAATGACAGCGATTATATGCCATATCTCAACTTGCTAATCTGTAGCTATTAGCGCACTTGTGTGCAGTGCTGTTGTTGATGTCCTGGTTGCTATAATTTAACGTCAAGTCAAAAAAAAAACAAAGAAATGCTACTTCTTTTAAATGAATTTGTCTTTTCTTGCTTTGCAATTGAAATACTCCGTGAGCAAACAGCATACTTGACAAGCCTGATTGGAGACACTGGCTCCCACTATTCACATGATTGTTGACTGTGTAAACATGGCTTCCAGTTGAAGCTACAGCAGTCACAACAGCAGCTAATGTCAACCTCACTCTGTCTTTATTAGCCTTTGCATCCATGTTTTTATTCTTTATCTAGAACCATAAAACTACCATTTATATTTACATTTGTTTCAGTAAATTCTGATTTAAAGTCAAAGGCATTTACATTTAGTGTGTTATAGAGCAGGCTGCAAGTGCAGATACAGCCTGGCCTGTGTCTGGGTGGTGTTAACGACAGGTGATCAGCTCACCTGTATCATCTTACCTGTAGCTGACTCACAGCCTCTACAGAACTCTATAAAAAGTGTCAGTGACTCTCAGTCACGTGTATGTACCTTTAAAAAACCATGACTCAATCTCATATCCTGGCAGCGTTAATGAAACTGGTTTTGACCATATCACACAGACAGAGTTTGCTTAGTTTCCATGAAACTGTAGGTGTTCAAAATTTCCATGACTCCAGTCATCTCTTCGACTTCACATTCGGGAAGGAAATCAGCACTGCCGATTCTCCCAATTGTGCTCAATAAAGATTCACAAAGTCCAGAATCAGCTCATTCTGATTTGATTCAATTCAGTTCAAATTCACTCGCATATAAGAGTGAAAATCAGAGTGTGCAAATGTGAAAAATTGTTCAGGTGCATTGGTGTGACTGATGCTGAGTTCCCTGGATTCTCAGCTTGAAAGGACCAGGAGCATTTTATCAGTTCTCAAAGAAACCAGTGAGTGACATCAGTGGATTGGAAAATATGGTTTTGGTGTTAATGGAGCAGCTTCTCACCTTGGCTCTGTGTCTGACCAAGGGCAGGGCTCAGCTCCTCCTCACATAGCAGACAGCAGCTGAGAGGCCGCAGTAGAGAGAGGAAGCCCAGGTGAAACGAAACACCGCTTGAGTTAACAACACATATGCTCATTACTGTACATGTGTTGCTATCATCTTCCTCACATCTGTCTCCTTCCACAGTTATAGTTGTTTCAGTCCCACTCCGCCACTTTTACCATTCATGTGTTCATACCTTTATCATCATTAAACACTTAGGCAGCAGAAGCTGTTGTCTTTATAAACCATAAAGGTGGCCTTAAATTTTTTCATTTATTGGTACCAATATTGTTAAAAATAAATGTAAGCGTCAAGCCCTGCATCCAATGTCTGTTGTTATCAAGAGCACTCTGGGTCTGACTACCCTCTCTACTAACTTTAATCCCATTTGTCAGTAGAGCCAGTTGAGGACTGGTGCCCTATGCTTTGAGAAACCAGGATCACAGTGACAGGTAAGGTATGACTACAGGGGAAATGACCGCCAACCCACAAACATGATGTGGCATCACTCTGAGGAGGTCATGGCAATCAGATTATCCCATGTTACACAAATTCACCTCACCCACTCGTTACTGTAAGTCTGAGCGACAACAGCACAGCACTCGTCACTGTAAGTCTGAGCGACAACAGCACAGAGCAGGTTAAAACGCAGAATCACACACGCTGCGCTAATTTTAGAAGAAAGCATCTGAGTGAAGCAAAAACAAAACTCTTTTGCAAACCTTCAAAGACACATTTGCTCTGTGAGCAGCAGTGTCACATTCTGCCTTGATGAAATCTTCTGTGGGAAAATGAAGATTGTTTACCGAGCGCAGAAGCCGTCTCATGGATGACAGAGGATAAGCTCGGGGGCCTGAGCTGCTCTGTAACCACAGTGATGCCAAGTGGTCGGCGGTTTGAAGAGGACACCTGAGACCGGTGCACCTGGACAATGAGCTGAGGTGTAACCCTAAACTGAAATGAACCGCTGTTTATCCCCCACACTCTCCTTCTCTTGTTCTTTCCCATCAGTCTCCTCTCTTGCTTCATACACTCCGTTCTCTCTGGTCCCCGAGCTTATATTCTCAAAACCTGATCTATTCCAGTCTGTTATTTTCCCAATCCTTTGACTCGCTAGCTGTTTCTGTCTCACTTTCTTTCTATGCCTTTCCCTTCTGGGCATCGCCAGGCTAATGCAAATATCCCTTGGTGTGGGTGTGAGTCATATAATCACAAACTTACTGTATCACATTTTCACCAGGATTCATCATTCAGGGGGAAAGGAGGGTCCTAGAGCTTCCTGACCCATTCCTGCATTTCTTCAGTTGCTATTTCACAAAGACAATACTCTAAATTGGGAGACTGACATTTTGCACAACAGCTGCCAGCTGTATGACTCAGTGACGCAGACACAGTGCCCATGTTGCCATGGAAAGGCAGCGTTATGGTGTTGTTGCCAAGGCTCTGCTGCCCAATACCCATCTGATCTGTTATCATTACTGTTAGAGCCGCAGTTGGGGGGTGGTTAAGAGATGGGAGCAGGGTATGCACGATTGAGAGTGAGATGTGCCAGAAGAGTGAGAGACTTGAGAAGACCATGACTGAAGATTGGGAGACAGATCAGAAGCAACTGTGTTTAAGCTACACTTACTGTACTTCTGCTGTCTCCATCTTTAAAAGGCCTTTAGTCAGCATCTTACACACTCCACTGATATTTGTACATTCCCTCTCCATCAGTCATAACACTTGGGATAAACACACATAATCTGGACTGCACGTATACACACTCACAAATGCACTTAAGATGCTCGCTGTGTATTATTTCTCTGATGCAGTGCAACTGCGTCTTTAAACAGCAAGTAGCACAAAGGACCAAAAATAGCGCAGCGAGTTGCAGAGCTACTCTCCTTGAGGAGGGGAGGAAAGAGCAGGAGGACAAAGAGCAGGAGGAGGTGCAGAGAGAGATGACAGGGAAAAGATGGCAGAGGAACACTGCTGTGTTCAGTTTAAGTTTCTCATGCCAGACCCCTAAAACGTCACATTGTACGCTAGAGTTCAATAACAAGACTTAATCGCATTTCTGCAAATGATTAGGGGAATGCTTCATGTTTGTATGTTTATAACTGTGCCAGAGGATTTCATATAGAGCAACCCATAGTGGTAGACAAAATAATATTTCATCTAGATCACAAACAGGTCAATTTCAGAGTTGGGACAATTAATCAGTGCAGCAATGGTGCACTATTTGCAACTGTCCATCAGTACATTTATTAATAGTTTACGGTATAATTCTTACATGAGTGTTTTGTTCTTTTTTAAGTAACATAAACATGAGCACTTCTCTTTCTTGTTACAGTTGAAGATTGGCACAGCTTTCATATCTCTTATATGGCAAATATAAAGCTGTAGACAGGAGATGGTTACCTTATCTTAGCATAAGGACTGGAGACAGGGGGATACAGCTAATTAGTTGACTGTCCAGAGAGTAACAAACACTGCTACTAGCACCAGCAAAGCTCGCTAACACATCAGACTTAACTGCTGCCAATTTATAACCTGGCACCTAACACCACATCATAATGAAGTCACATTATAATATTTTTACATTTTTGTATGAATTAAATAACAAGATATAATGTGTTAATTAGTGAGCCATCAGGCTAATTTTGTTACCTTTATCAAAGCCAGGTTAGCTGTTTCCCCATTTCCTGTCTTTGTGCTAAGCTAAGCTAACTCTGCAGCCTGTAGTGTCATATTCACTACACAGACATGGATGGAGTCAATGCTCTCATCTAACTCTTGTCAAGAAAGATAACAAGAGTATTTCCCAAAATGCCAAAGCATTTCTTTAAGGATGTTTTCTTCTCCAGTTAAACCGATTAGTCAGTGGGTTCTGTGACATATTACAGTATGTTTGACAAAATAAGCTTGAACATGCCATGATAATATTAGCCTATTATTCCCACCCTGTGTCAGTATAAATGTCTTATCCATTATCTAATCAAACCAAAAAAAATTGTGTTGCCCCCTATCCTGATCAGAAACAAACAAGAGGGAAAACAAACTCACTTTCCAGTTTATTAGTACCCGAAAACTAACGCAGTCTAACACAATAGTGCAGCAATAAATCCTACTGTTGTGATGTTTAAAATGTTTTGTTGAATCTGTTGTAAAAAGTAGAGGGAGCAACTCAAGATATGATTGCTGTCTTTTTCTGAAGCTTTCAACTGATATCACAGTTCGGATATTGTAATGTATATAATTGTGTTATCTGTAATGTTTTGTACACAATACTTGTATCTGTGAGGGCAAACCACATGTTAGCGTTAAACCTCAGCACAACAGCACATTATGCTACAGCCTCAAAGATTATCATGAAGTTGAACCAATGGCTCTATTAAACAGTTTATACAAACATTATCAGCTTCACAAAGGAAGGATTCATTGCACCTAGATGTATCTAATAAACCAGTGCTGAGTGTAAGTCTCTAAAGAAAAGAGCACACTTTGTGTATTTGCTGGATAGTCTTTTATATGGGTCTATATTACCTGTGCACTGCAAAAACACAATGAGGTTTGACCCCTCCTCTCCTCATCGAGCATCTCAGCTGTGAGCTAAATGACACCTAGGGTTGAGTTTTAAGGCTCATCGCTGATCTTAGAAACTGTAATGTGCACAACCTTAACTTAATGTTAATATTCTGGCTCCTTCAGCCACATGCTGGTCATGTGATAGTAACCCAAATGCAACCTACCACCTATGATCAGGCGTCCATATTTAGGTCACATCTTCATGACAACTGAGCAAACTCAGCTTACTCAGACATTATATATTTTGCTTGTTAACAGAGAAGATAAGTGATACTTGCTTGCAGTACTTACTATTGCTGGACTTGAGGTCTCTGTGGATGATAGGTACGAATGCCTGGTTGTGCAGGTAGTCCATCCCTGTTGCAATCTGGACTGCCCAGTTCACCAGAACCCTTGGGGGAACCTTCTTCCCAGCCAGGGCCCGGTTCAGAGCCCCGCCTCTGGCATACTCCATTACCAAGCACAGGTTGGGCTCCCGCAGGCAGACTCCACGCAGTGCGATTATGTTGAGGTGCTGGAGCATCCAGAACAGCCTGGCCTCCTGTCGCACGCTCTCTGTTGTGGCACTAATATTCTCATCAGGGTCTTGCCTGGCAGCCTTTACTGCTACTTCCTCTCCCAGCCACACTCCTCTGTACACTTTCCCAAATCCACCTGCTCCTATCACCTCCTCTAGGAGCAACTCTGTGAAGTCTATCTCCAAGGGGCATTCACCCACACCACCCGCCACAAGCCCCCCTGCAGTCAGCTGCTGGTAGCTGGCTGCATCCCCCCTGGTGACATAGTTGCTTGGAAAGATTCCCACCTTGTCCTGGATCTTGCCTGTCCACCAACCCTCATCCCCAGACACTTTGGAGTCTTTGGAAAGAACCTCAAGAAGGTCCCCACGCCGCAGGGTTAACTCCTCATCTGCTGTGGCCTCATAGTCGAACACTGCTGTCCAGTAGGGGTTGGGGTTGCTGGCCCCACAGCGATGGCCAGGATGGGAGTCTGGGGAACCAGAGGATGAGATGGTGGGGGAGTTCCAGCTGCTGCCATTCTCCAGCTGCACAACTGGAGCAGGAAACATTGCTGGCGGAGGGGTCATATTGGGAGGCATGGAGGAGGTAGAAGAGGTATTGGAGGAGGGGGGCCCAGGCGGGATTAGGCAAGGGGGAGGCGGGGAGCAGCTGCCCCCACAGTTGGTGCAGGACAGGGAGGCTGCTGTGCTGTTGCCTCTGCCGTATGGGTTCATGGCAGCCTAACTGCTGTTTGATACTGTAGGCCTGCCCTCTGTCAGCTCAGGCACAAAATCCACACAGGGCCCATTGACTAAGATGAGATGTCCTCGATGACCAGCGGGAGGGAGAAGGCATCAAAGGATCAGAGACCTACAACTATTCTCCCCCATCACCACATCTCGCTGCTGAAACTGTGCTAAAGCCTGTTACCAGTTGCTGTTGTGCTGTTGCTACACTGTGTGTAAGCATGTATTCCCAAAGGCAAGTTCGGTCAGGGACAATGTACATCAAGTCAAACAATGACTGTCAGTGTAACCCCTCCAAGTTCTTTATTGTCAGACCACAGACCCTGACAGAAGATGTGAATCAGTGATTATCCAAGAAACAGCAGGTGTAAGTAATCCTTTAGTCTGATGAGTTCCTGATCAGAGAGTGAAAGGTGAAATGAAATCCAGACATGATCATTTCTCTCACTGCTCTCTCTATTGCTGCCTGTAAAACAGTTACACACTTATGAATTTCCTGCATTGTTGTTAAAATTAAGCAATGCTCAACTAGGTTGTTTAACAAAAGCAAAATCTGGGCTCATGATGTCTCCATAGTCTGAAATCTACTGCCCTAATAAACACATAGCCTCTCTGTAGTTAATATCATCCCATTGAGAACTAGTGTCCTGACTCTGAGGGGTACAGACATACTCAGGGGTGATAATAAAACCACAAATGATTGTCTGGTTAATTTTAGTGTGGAATATGGGCTATTTAGGCTGCCAGTAAAAACCACAGTCTGTGATCGAGCTGAATGAAGTGCTCTGAGCAGGGTTCATCATTTTTTCTCAGAGATGCACATCCTCCGCCAGCCATCGCCATGAATATGGGCTGTTTTCTAAATTGTGGTTGGAAATAACCGCGGATATTCGTCCTACATCCACACAAACCGGTGCAGGCTAAATTCTGTATACATGCTCGGTTCAGCGTTCCTGGATAGCCTTTATCCAAAAAAGGGCCCCGTCAATTTTAAGACAACTAAAATATTAAAGAAACAATCCGAGGACTGGGCGGCAGGTAGGCTATTCAATACGGAGGTGTGAAGTGGCACCATGTTCAGCATCCAGCCAAGTCTGAGCACAACAATCCCGCCTCCCTCTCTATGCAGCGGCCTGGTTCACTCGGCTCCGCTGGGCTTCATTTGTGATGGAGACGAGTCCTCGATTAGAAAAAAAAATGTCCACGACTTCTTTAGGAAAGGCAGAGACCATCTCACAGCGGCAACAAGGTGGAAAACACTGTCAACGAAGGTTTGCATGGTGGCATTGCAGCATTACATTATCTCTGCTCCAAGTGGACGAGATGAAATAAGGCGCTGAAGAGACCCCCTCCGGCGTTTCCTTTAACAGATCGACACCCCATAATAATAATAATAATAATAATAATAATAATAGAATACGGTTGGCCTATTTATTACGTGACTATTACACGTAATAGTCTATTTATTATGTATCTAGTCCCTGCTCGCGTCTTCCGCCTCAGTCTATACTGCTTTATTTTAATACGTAAACAGATAGCGTTTACTTTAACCCAACCTGTACACTGAGGACAGCAACATCCACCGATATCGTCGCATGGGCGTGTGGTTGCATCTGAGAGGTCCGTAACTCAGTTTAGAGCCAAGTGAAAACGCTCCCGGGAGTCCCCCTTTGCGCCGGCCAGTCTGTCCGCAGCTCTGTCCTATTCAAACTGGCTTTCCCCCCCAAAAGAAGTGACATTTCGAGGACCAAGCTGTCAGTCTGTGGGCTGACTTTGCATCCAAATACCCCGGGGTGCCGTTCACATACGCGCGGACAAGCGCTTCCTCTGTCGCTGATCTACCTATAATATGGATGGTTGAAGCGCGCAGCTGGTCGTGCACTTTCACCCATCACATGGGTGCAGATCAGGGCGCCGCTCACCGTGCAGGACGAGGAGGAGGACGCTGCAGTCGGTAGGAACGACACTAGACTATGAGGGTGGTGAGGGTGTACTAGTGCACTGTGGGTAATGTAGTCTGTAAGGGATCTCCTGCTGACCTACATCATTCTGGTAACTGATATAATTTTTTTAACCGATATTACGATTCTAAGGAAGCATATGGGGCGGTCATATGCACAAATACTATATTTTACACCAACTTGTATGGTAGTAATTAGACAGTAATAGTGTAGCGAATATAATGTAATGTAATGTAAAGTATTTTTTATCAAAAAGATCAGAGGTTCAAAGGTCAGCTGAAGAACACCAGCCCTGAAGCTGGCAAGGACTGTATATGCCAAGGATGCTTGATGCTCGTACTGTTGAAGAAAAGTGAGTGATATACCTGAACTATAAGATTTTCTTTTGTGTGAGGAGAGCATAAAGTGAGAGGAAAATAATATTATCATTTTCTTGACAATGCATAACACTGGGTTTTCTAAGAAAAAGCCACTACATGACATTGTTGTGGGTTGTGTGCAGAGGTTGCTGGATCACAGTGATAAATCTAATTTTGGTAACACTTATGTTTATTTTTATCTGTAATTATGTTTACATCAGGTACCAATAAAAGATTTGCATGGTCACTGGTACTTAATGTAGGTGACCTGTGGGGAACAGGGAGCAACAGAATATGCGTTTTTGTTTCCTAGTACAGCCATACATAGCATTCACAAAAATATTACTGTAATCATTTTTTTCTTTCCTGAAAAAGGTCCATAGTCTTCTTTTATTACACTGTATGTACCTTTATGGGAAATGGTAACTATTTTATTGGTACATGACTCATATATCCCCATTAGGCTACACTGGAAACAGTGAGCATTATACTTATATTGTTACCCAGTTTCTCAGTAATGATGAATGCTACCTTAGGAATGACTGTTTTTAATAATAAGAAGAAGAATAAGAATGTTCCAGTGTCAGAATCTTACTGCAATTCCAAATACAATCAATAGATTATGAGGACAAAATGCAGCAATATTCACACTCATCAATGTTTAACCTCTACTGACCCCTGGTGTCTAATGAATGAAACACAAAGTCTTTACTGGTGGATCAGTACCATTTACTTTCACAGATTACACATAGAGTATTATTTTATTTTATTACAGAGTATTACTTAGTTTTTTAATCAACAGGGACATAAAATTTCAGATATTTTCTGCCTCCTTGGTTCTCCTCTATTTTGCTTGTTTCCTTCAAACTATTTGGATTACCTACATTTTCCTACTTTGGCCTCTGTAAAGTTGCCTTGTGTATCTTGTCTCCTACTCAGTGGCGCCTGCAGCAGTAATCCTGTACTCAAGGTATGTAGATTTTTTTATTATGATTTTGCATAAGTTTTATGTCACTGTGTCTGGGGGTCATTGTACAATCAAAATATAGCATATTCACAGAAATATAGTTTCACATTTATTGCCTGAACAGCTGTGATATCGCCCACCCCTAAAGTGGATCATGCTACTCTGACTTTACCTGCCTTCAGTAATGCCTGTACCGGGATGTGCATGGTACTCCTTATTTATCTATTTATTGTGTCAGATAAGTGATTCTGAATGAGCGACTGGAGCGCAACGCTGGTCACTGTGTGATAAAGGAGGTGCTGATGAGAGAGAAGCTGCTGAAAATACAGCTAGACTGTTTGTTATAAAGAGCCTATAATTATAACAAGAAAATATAGTATGTCGTAATAACATGAAAGTATCTTGTTAAAACGAGCAAAGTATCTTGTTATAATGAGAAAAGCTTCTTGTTAAAATAAGATTTATGCTGCCGTAGGCACTTCTTGTGCATACTATAAAATATAATCCTGCAAGCGCCACTGCTCCTACTGGCTCATCCTCGAATGTAGTGTGCTGCTTAGACTTTTACAAGACAGTGGTAAAAGTCAAACGTGTGATCTACTTTTCAAGAGGCCCAATTAGTAATTAGTGGATCTTCCTTCTGTCCCACTATCACCGCCATGCTTTGGTTCAGAGAGAGCTGCTGGAGCTACAGAAAGCAAAATGCATACAGTGAACAGCCTTTGGTGTACTAGCTTATCACAGGACATTCAGTCTGTCTGTTGCCTGTCAGACCACAGAGCAGTTATAGTTGCAGGAATTACTCTTTTGGCTTGCTGTGAAATATGCATTATCAGTGACAGGCCCACAGAGTAATGTGTTGCTGCCAAAAAACATGTCTTTTTGTGCTTAAAGCTGTTTTTATCTAACACAGTTGTATTTCTGTATAATAAAGATTGTTCCTTTTGTTATAACACTGCTTATCTAGTTGTATATGCATTACTGCAAAAGCATCTGCACCCACTGTCTATGTCTAGTGGGTGACACAGTACTGACTGATTACAAAACAAAACAAACTCACAAAAAATGTGGTTTTGGAATATAACTGAGTCATGCATATTTAATCTTTTCAAGGTATTACTCAGCAGTTCCTAAACTTATTTGTGTGATTTTGTGGAATACTAAATGGCATATCTTACAAACAGAGGACTGATTATGTTGAGCGACCACAAGGTTGCGCTATTGACTAATTTGAGGGTGATGCATAAAATCAAAATTTGATCATGCGGCAGGTTAAATATACAGATTGCTTCTCTAATGTTATTTCTAAATGCATTTACATTCAGATATATGCCCCTGTGTCTTAAATATACACAGGAAACACAGTTCTGTCCAGTGACAGAAAATAAGTAAGAACGTTTACTCAGGTAGACCTACTCTACTACTATTTTGGGGTTCATCTGTTATATATACTCTGCAGTTCAAAGCCAAATATTGAACCTTTATGCCAATACATTTGATAACTTTAGTTAGTACTGTAACTATTTGATACCCACACATGATGACTCTAAAGGTAAAGGGAAAAAGGCAGTTTGTCCAGTTGTTAAATCCAAGGGGTCGCTCATTTTTTCCAGCTATGCTGTGAATGTTTAATGGGTGTACTCAATAAAGACATGAAACATTGTAATTGTTTGTATGTAATTAGCTTAAGCACACCGTGTTTGTCTTGTGACTTAGATGAAAATCAGATCATTCTTTTTGGCCAATTAATGCAGAAAACCAGGTCATTCCACAGGATTCACATACTTTTTTCCATAGCCTGCATTATTTTGAAATAGGGCAATCTGCATAGTGTGGTGGGCCTATATTCTGATGCTAATACTTAAAATGATGAATGCATGATTTTTTTCTACACTTTTATTTATGCACCACTGTTATCACATGTACAGTATGGTACATAATTGCGCTATATATTATAGGCTACGCCCCATTTATATCAATGAGACTAGGATAAATGCCAGAACAGAAATACCTCCCTGTCTAATGCAGTCTAGTTTAACAACAGCACCCACTGCAGCGGATGACTATACAGCTGAATCAACAGCTCTCAGAAATATCATCACCTTCATGAATGAGGATTTATAGCAGGAAGCTTCGGACTGCATTTTGTTTAGCTTAGAGTTCATCATAAACTGCCCACTCAGTGTATGTAGGATATTTTGTGCCCATCATCTGTAGTAGCAGCGTGCTGCCCCCGTGTGTATCTGTAGGCTGCGCTAACCGGGGCCGCGCAGGCGCAGTGAGGCGGGCGCAGCTCCACTGTGGTTTCGGTTGAGCTTTCTTGGCAACGTCTCTCTCTCGGTGAACAGACAGTTGATCGTGTTTCCACAATGTCTGGAGGATTATTTTAACGGATTATGAGCGGAGAGGAAACACTGGAGCAGCGTTAGGTAAGGTGTGTGCTCTTTTGGTTTTCTCTGAACAGTTTTAGCCGAACTGTTTGGGCTATTCAAAAGCGTTGAAAAGTGCCGAGTGAACTAAACGTTAGCGAGCAAGGGAAACACCGAGAGGCTGCCGAGCTGACCAACTTCACTCAGTGCAGGGGGCAGCCTCCTTACTACGGCTCATTTGTTGGTCTCTGGTCACCTGGAACCGTTTACCCCGACTCTTTGCTCCATGTCGTCCTCCGGCCATTCAGCAAAGTAGATTTATAGCGTTAAATTTATCGTCACCCACAAAATTGTATTAACTAGAAAATATTCCACGACCTTCCTGATCATTAAGGCACCATTGCGCATGCCTGTAGTGGTCCGCAGATTTCGGATTTGTAGTTTTTCGTACCTGCGTTAATCGCGGTTGTGAGGGACAAGGGAAATCCATAAAACTACAAGTTCCAGACAATGGGAGCTTTGTCTGGGAGCGGAGCTAGCCAGCTAGTTAGCCTGGACGAGCTTTGAATTTCGAGTAGTTGTGCTGCAATCGGAAGTTGCTTTGCCTGGAGATTTGTTTCAGGATGAGCCGCAAGGGAAATCTTTCGGCTGTATGGTCTCTCTCTCTCTCTCTCTCTCTCTCTCTCTCTCTCTCACACACACACACTGTTGTCTTAGGTAGGAGTGTTGCAGTAGTTCTAAGTGGCAATGGTTTGCAGCGATAGGCTGAGCAACATATTGTAATTGTACAGATAAAAGGAGACTCGATTATGTTTGGACGTGCAGACTTAAGCTGTCATAAGACGTGTGTGCACAGTGCGTAGGATTCGAAATATGTTTGTGTGTGTGCATGTGTTTGTACGAGTGAGTGTGTATACTGATGAAGGCGATGATGCCTCGGCGTGTCGTTTGCCTTTCCCAGAGACCCCCCATGTTGCTGCTGTATCCCCCAGCCCTCAGCAAATGAGTCGTCGAGACTCAGGTTGCAGCAGAGGATGGAACCCTGCACATTAGTCTGGGCATCATTTACTCTGGTTGCCACCCATATGAAACTAATATAATAAATATTACCAGTGAAATGTGAGAATAATAACGTGGTTAGCCTATCTATTGGAGTGGTTCCCGAAGTGGGTGCCACAGGATTACCATTGCTCATTTGTTGCGAGTTTGTTATAATGTCTCACCAAATTAAAAATTAGTGGTTGACCGATATGGGTTTCTCAATGTCCCATGCCAATGCCGAGCAGAGAGGCCGATATATAATACCGAGATCATGTTGTTTTTATTTGCATCAGGTAAAAATACATCAATTTAATAACGAATGAGGCACAAATTTCCAGAACTTAAATGAACATTTATTTAGCCTTAATGAATTATGAAAATAAAAAATTGTTTCTCATTTGCTCCAGTCTGCATTCACCTTATTGTTTTAAAATTTAAGGAATGTTTATGAATAAAAGATAAACGTATTTTGGTGCACCTAACAGGATTTTACTGAGACACAGCAAAAATGTGTAAATATTTACATTGCGAAGACACAGCAAAAAATGTGTAAATATTTACATTGCGAAAAGTAGTAGCACACACATTATTTGTCTGCAGACACCTTGGCCAATTAGAGTGTGGTCATCGGCCAATGCCAAACACCTAAAATGTCAAAAATCGGCCAGAATAATTGGTCGACCAGTATTAGAAATGGCAGTGTTTACATTAAGTACAATGAAATAACCATAACAAATAAGGCAATAAACATCAAAATTATCTAATTAAAAACTGTTAATATGCAGCTGTGCCTGCAGACAATGAATAATCATTGTTGCCAGTTGTTATATAACACACTCTCTAGCTCAGGAATATTTCAGGAGGAACAAGCAATGGAAAGATTTGGCACAGAAAACAGCTCAAAGAAATGCTGACAGGCCTTCATGAGATGGCTAAATCTGAGCCCACTCAACAGAACTAAAATCAGACACAGCACTGCCTGGCTAACAGCTTAAGCACAGGTTGGTTCCAGTGGGTGGCAGGTATCCAGTGGTGTTTGACAGCGCATTAAATGTGCCATTGTGCATCCCCAATGTTGTAGGACAAGACACTGTCAGTGGCAACAGACCTGGGGGTTGTGCTCTGTCCATACATTATTAGCAGACTCTCTTTAAATACCTTTAAACCTTTCTTGTTGTGCAGCAGCAATGTCCTTGGCTGGGAGTAAAAAAGGAGTGCAGCCAAAGACGGCTAAAGAAAGCACCATGTGTGTCTAATTTTTACACAAAATAAACTTTGCTTCTTAATAAGTTGTGGTTTAACATATTAGTGTATTTAATTGTATTAATTCAACATTAAAGATGCATCTCTAAATCTAGCAGAGCACCTGTTGTTGTTAAGAATGGGCCTATATACAGTACTGACTTCATAAATATTATGTCAGTGGGTACACATGTCAAAGCCCCACTCCTATGTGAGATTCAAATGAAAAAAGACATCTTTTTGTTTGTTTTATATCTTTTTTTGTCATGTTGAGTCTCTCTGTGGGCCTTTTGTATGCCTATATAGTTTGATTGACTTCTCAAAAGAATTGTTAATTACTTGAAACTGAGGCTCTTGTCTCAGGGCCCCTGACCCACCGGGCTCCTGTTGGCATGTCTGGGACATGATGATCTCGAAATCCAGTGTTGGTGGTCCTGCCTATAGGTCTGCTCAGTAATCTGCCCACACATGTAGCAGTGCTGTGGTCAACAAGGGTTGAGCACACTGTTTGCTGTATAGTGGGGAGGTCCTGCATTTCATCTTAGTTTGGCGAGGAAATTGGATCTGATTGCAGACAATACAGTTCTGAACTGTGAACTTTATGTTGTGTGATAATGACATGGTTCTGTTGGCCAATGTTGTAAATCCAGTTTCCTATGATCAAAGGCTGTGCACCAGACAGCAGAAGCCAGTTACACAACTGTAACTGTACTGTCTATCATTTTTATGAAGGCATTTCCATTCTTTTCATGGATTTAGAATCTTGTACTGAAATACTTTTGATAATCAAAAGTCTCTTTAAAAAGCCCATGGCATGCTCATTTTGCTCCTTTCCAGCCATTTAATGTTTAGAGCCAAAAAGCCTCTTCCTTAAAATGAGCGGACAGTTCGTGAATGCACACAACTCCTGCTGCCAGTGTTGTGGACAGCACAACGAACCGGGATGGCATAATTAATATGAATTTCTTCTCCATAGATAGGTAAGCAGCGCTATATGTACCGATGAAAACAGATGAATAACACTCTAAACATAGCAGGTAATTGAGAAGCCCCATATTTTAACAGGCATAATGCAGACATAGTAACTTCTCCAGCCTTACAACAGTTCTCTCTATTGTTACAGAAACAAGGCATTAACAGACATGCAACGTATGTTTTTATTTTTTATTTTTTTACTTACCAAGAGAGCAATCCAGTTAGTTTATAAATACAGCTGTAACTTAAACTCGTCCAGAATATGTTTTGCTGCCAGTATTATGCAATTTTGGGAGGCCCTGGCAGGTCCATAATATCTGTAGAAGCATGTTTGTTTTGGTGTTTTTGCAACAATTGCACATTATTCAATATTCATGCTAATCTACACTCATTTCATAACTTTGGACCCATGTCTTGTTTTAAAGCCCCTCCCACCATCAGCTTGTAGTTAACTCCACAGGTACCAGACAACAGTTGCTTACAGTCTGTGATCTTGAGGAGCATCTCATAGTTTGTGCTACTTATGTTGTAGTTTCTCCACAAACAGCTGCATGAACAAATGATTCTGTCTTTAAAGAAAGTTAAATGTGGGTCACCTGAGTTATTTGGCCTGTAAACATTTCTCTGAATCACCATGTCTTATCTCGGTAGAGGTGACTCATCAGGTGTTGTTTTTTTCCCTCCTGTTCCTTTATTCTGGACAAGGGTTTTAAGGGACTTGCTGTACACACAGATATGCAGTCAGGATCATCTACTAGTTTCCAAGAGGATCTCTTACAGGATTTTTTAAGGCAGCAAAGACTGTGTTTTGGCACAAGCTCTGGTTGGCGTTCTCCTTTCCCAACCATGAAGCCTTGGCAGTCCTCCTGCTGTTTGTAATGTTAGAACGAAAAGCCTTGCCAGGTTTCTGTTTAATCCTTAGAGGCGTCTTAGTTAAATAAAGGTTAATAGAAATGAACAGTTGTGTGTTCTCACGCACACAGGCACGCTCAAACAACATCCATCACAATTAATATTGGGTGTATCCTGATAGGTTACAGAGAGGGAGGATGATACCTTAGGCTAAGGATGCCATCTGGTCTGTGTCAGGGTGCACAGTGATGGCTGCATGTGTGTACATACACTGTGTGTGTTTTAGGGGGCTAAACGTATAGTATTGTCTTTGACATGTGACTTGTAATTGTTGGAGCTTAAGCTTAGACTTGGAGAACTTAGACTAAAGTCTAGTTCTTTACTGAAGTATACCGTATTTCCAACAGCTCTACCTCAGCTTATTGCAGGTTCTTGCTGCTTGAATTCAGTAACTACATGAATGTGCTGTAGTGAACAGGTGTTTCTGTTTGGGTTGACATTTAGTGATGTACGGATCGATCCTTGAAATACTGATATTTTCAATCCCAACATGTCATGTTCTAGGATCAGTTCTCATATTAAAATATCTATATCTAAGCCTCATTAATTTGGGGTAAATGTATGCTTTATCATCAAAAGGTACCGCAGTAGAAAGTAGGGCTGCCACTTTTTCTAAAAATCACGTTCGAACAACTGGCTACACATGAAATGCATGCATCTGTCCAGCGTATCCAACCCGTGGTAGAACACAGCAAATACAAACTACACACACTTCACAAAGAACTGTGTGCTCAGTAGTATACAATCTTCTGTTTCTGTTACCTGTTGCACCTGTTTATATTTGGAGAAGTACATATAGTACTGGGAGTGTAAATATAAACCGATACGAATCTGGAAATGTATACAAGGGTCAGATTTATGGCTGCACCTGTTGAAAATCACAGATTTGAACCAA